AATCCTCATGGGAGTATTAACAAAATGCCTTATTTCAAATGTTAATGGTCTACATTGAAATAGCTCAAAAAACATCTTCAGAGATCTCAGGTTCCTGTCATAAAAGGGTACTTTTGACAAACTGATTTCATTCAGAACCCCATGGTTCTACATGTATGGCCATATAGTCTTAAGAGCTAATATAGGGCATTCACATTACAGTTCTTTAAAAAGAAAATTACTGAAATTACCGAAAAGTGTCATGTCAAAGAAAAGTGGCAGAATAAGTTAGGGGAAAAAATGAGTATTTAAATGCTAATTATTTCATGCATCCAGAGTTAAGGGAGGGAATATCAGTTTAAATATGTTTGGAAGGGACAAAAAATTCATCAAAATCAGGGATGCTTGAAATTTTCTTGGGTCAATGATCCACTTAAGATTCTGTCAGAACTATGGACTCCTCCCAAAAATATACCATACATGCAACATACATATATATAATAATCTTAATAAAATGTCAAAAGAATCATGGATTTCCTGAAGTCTGATCTGTGGACCCTCAAAGACCTTGAGTTATGAGCATCAACTTTGACTTGGATACCATCTTGCAGTTATTTAAAACCTGCTTTCTGAATTCAATTATAGATAAATTTAATACTTTACCATCAAAGTACACTTATTTACATTTTGAAAAGGAATATTTGATACTGAACAGGCATTGCTAACATTCACAGATTTGTTGCTTTATCCCTCTACATATAATGCCATACTTGTAAGGATTATCTCATTCTTTGGATGGACTCTAAAACATGTTGCTATACCTGTATGGATCTATTAAGACAGGAGCGTAAACATAATCTGAGGAGTGGATGCTGAGTAATAGTAAAAAGAACAGTTTTTGCTTGATATGCACCCCTGTCTAGAGCTAAGAAGTTGCTGCTGGACTTTATGACAGTCTTTGTATTTGGAGATAAAATCAAGTTAAATTATAAGTAAGGGCATTTAACAGACTATTAGTCTTACTAATCTGGTAGGGTATTGGACCTAAAGAAAATAAACATTAGCATTCAGCTTTCTTTAATGGTACCTTTGGAATGTAATCAAATCAGTGAAAATAGAGTCATTACCTAAATTTCCAGTCATTTTTTTAAAGTAGGTGGTGGGAAAAGGTAAGTAAGAGAAAATTTAGTCAAATACCCCTTACTCTTCGATAATATGGGGAGGATATGGGCAGTTTGAATTACAACCTAGATTTATCAAGTCTGGGAGTATTTACAAAGTTGTTCTTAGATAGTGGAGAAATGCAATAGTATATTGTACTTACTAAAATTTGTTGTAATTTCCAAATGTTTTTTTAATCTAGTTGGTTCTAAGAAACTTTTTACAACTAATGGAAAATTAGGAAGAGAAGAATTTCAAAGGAAAAAGGACCAAAACGTAAATGGGAGGGTGTAAGTATGTTAATGCATTAGGTCTAAGTGATAAAAGATTTTTCCTTAGGTACAGAGATAACCATGTGTAGTGCAGCTATTATCAAGATTAGTTTCAAAATCTTTCTCATTGAGGTAGAAACTGAAGAAATTTTTATAAAATTTAAAGGTTAAAGTCTAAAAATATAACAGTGTATTATGGAAGTAATTTGAAATAAAAAAGTTGAAAATAGGCCTGTATTTGTTCCACCTGGAGTAGTCTTTGTTGGCAGTGATTAGGAATGTAAGTACTAGAACATTACTGTATTTACAGTGCCTACTTGAATTCTTCATGATATAAATGTAGAAGTCTACATGTTTATGATATATTTACTATAAAACCATAGAACATATGAGACTTCAAAGTTGCAAATAATGACTAAAACTTGTTAGGAGTAGTGGTCGGTACTATTGTAATTCAAAATATCAATAATATAAGAATATCCATAAAATTGGTATCAGAATGAGGTTTGACTCTGAACTGACTCTGACATCTTTAGCAAAAATCGTACTTTTTGAAAATGGGGCAGGAAGCCCTTTAAAGTAAAAACCTAGTTTAGTGGTAGTTTCACCTACTTCCATTTCATCCTGAATGCAGTGTCTACATGGCGTATGTCCAAGTTTTTAATAGTGTGTTTGTGATATGTTATGTTCCAAACAAAAATTTCAAAGTAAGAATAATAAAAGAAATATGTAAGACACATCTAAGGAGTTATTTGAAGATCTGAAAATACCAAGTAAGGAAAAAGTCAAAGAATCTTGTAAATCAAATAAATAATGTAATATACCACATATTTGAAATTTGTTTCAGTTGCCATTTTGAGCTACATTAAAATGGTTGAAAATATGGAGCTCTTGACATTGTCGTTATACTTTTAAGGGAAGTGAAGTGCATTGGAGGTATGCAATATACAGATTGGTTATTCATTCTGGAAACATCTGATTTATAGATAAAACTTGAGAAGAAGCTAGTGGGTCAAGTACCTTAAACTAGGAATTTTTTAAACAGTCTCTTCAGAAGAGGTGATTTAAAAAAGGGGGGGGGTGCTTTATGAGCTGCCATTGTGGGAATGGACAAGACAGTCCTCATTTTTCTACACACTGTTTTCACTCAGCATTCCATGTGCTAGGGAAATTGTGGTGCAGGGTCGTTTATTTGACAGGAGTAGGCTAAGACTGGCTGTATTTTCAAAGCCACACCAAGTTTTAAAACTTGTTACAGGAATCTTTGAAGAGCTGAAATGACTGAAATGAATTTTTTATGAAGCTATGATACCTTTACTTTGAGGTATTAATTGCTCAATGTACATGAAACTGGTATACGTTATCTTTTAGCAGTCAGTGTTCGAATCAAGGAGTCAAATGTATTCACCCATCTTCAGATCACAAAATAGGCGTGGGCATTAAACAATGCCTTTCGAGTTAATCACTTTGCCTGGATTCCGCAAAATGTTACTATATAAAACTTGAAAGTCCAAAGTGTGAATAGAAATATGAGAGTTGACAGACTGACTTTTGTTGTACAATATGGTAATGTGAATAGAACATTAGGCTATTACTCACATGATTTTAACTTTGCTTCCAGCTTGTGATTTTCGGCCTCAGTTTCTTTATATTAAAAGAAAGATCTGAACTTGTTTTTTTCTTTTAAAAGGCTCTTTACGGCTTGCCTACATTGCCAAACCAATGGACTTGTCAGTGACCAAATAGCAAGATCTGGATAAAGGGCAATATTTTTTCTCTTAAAAATTATACTTTGGGGTAAAAGAGAAGAACTCTTAAAAAATTCCCTTCAAAGTAATATGTTCTTTGTAGATATTAACCAAGTCATAAGGGCTCTTACAGCTTTTTTTGCCCAACTCCTTCCTCCCCTAAAGAAGGGTTCTGGAGCTGGAAAAGCAGCTTCTACTAGTGTTCTGTGATAGTCATTGCCTATCTTTAAAGATTTACATTTTAACCACTTTAATAACTACAATGTAGATATAAAGTATTAAAATTGCATATTGTTTCTTAGAACCTCTTAGAACTGTTGGCTCTGACACTGCAATCAAGTTATTGTTGAGAATGAGATTGCAACTAAAAAAAATCCCAAGAGAATGTGTTTGGAGAACACTTAAAGGTCATGTCAACCCAAAAAAAAATCTGAAGGTCAAGTCAACCGAAAAAATACCAATGGATACTGAAAGGCATGAACACACAAGACAGTGTTTTACTGAAGTGTGAAGAGGCTACACAATTTGGCAGGGGCTTTTTGTACTACTTAAAAATACAGCTAACACCAGTTTGAAGTTTTCTTTGGACGACAAGAGGAATGTCATTTTATTGTCTCCCCCCACAACCCACCCCCCGCCCCGCCCTGCCCCCAAGGCCTCCCACACCTGTAAGGGTTCTTTGACCCTGAGTATGCACAACTGGCCTGTAGGTTGCTATTCCTAAAAAGCCCTCTTAACTGGCTGGCAGGGGTCGAGTGTGAGCGGTGGCTGCACCCTGTTGATCCCGTTTCTTCCGGCTCCCATCCGGGTTAGGGAGTGGCTGTCCTAGGACTTCCAAAGTTTTGGTGCTGAGGCACTGGTGCTCACAAAGCTCCGGTGCATTGTTTCCTTCCAGGCAGTCTCGGTTAGCGCTTCGGCTTAGACATTTATTTTGCATTCTGTCGTCTTGGGCTGCGTGTGCTCTCTTGTTTCTGCGCTCTCTCCACGCCAGTCCCAGTTTCCTGTCAGCAAAGGGATCGCTCTTTCTGAACGAAAAGTTCTCAGAGCCGAGTGGAACCTCCCGGAAAAATGCTCTTCTCTTCCGTGTGCGCCGGCTGGGGGCGGGGGTGGGCCTGGGCCAGGGCCAGAAACTAAACCCCACGTTCCGCAGATTTGAAAGGAACCGAACCCCAAAGCGGAGGCGGGAGAGATACGGTTCACCCAGAAAGGACTGAGGGGTAATGACAGACCGGGGCAGCGCCCATCCATCTCCTGGATGGACTGAGGAGACTTGGTAGTCAGTGGGAACTGTGCAGCGAGGCCCAAGTCTCTCTGGAGAGTTTCTGGGTCCAGGTGGTGGCGGGGTGCACTCAAAGGAGTCGGGAGGAAGCCCTCTGGTTCCCTCTCTACCCCAGGAGCCGTTCCCTGCTGCCCAGATTCCAGGGAGGGCGCGTCGCGCTACCCGGCTTGCCGGGGTTGGTTAAGGTTTCCTGTCTCCTCCGCCCTCCCTTCCATTCTAGGGAACCCAGACCCTTGGGAAAGTGGGAGGTGGATCCCACATCTCCATCACCCCATTTCTCTGTCAGCCTTCATCCTAGGCTATGTGAGGAACTCTTTAATATCCCGACACTGGGTTTGCAGGACTCCCCGGTGGGGGGCCTCCGCGTACCGGGTGGCCCCTGGAGGCGCCCGGCAGACGCTCCGGGAAGGGCGCGCGGTCCCCCGAGACCCTTGGCCAGCGGGACTGCAGGGGAGGCGGAAGATGGCGGCTGCAGCTGGGTGCGGGGCTCCGGGCCCCGCTCGGACAGAGCCCCCCCACTGACCGCCCCCGCCGCCCGCGCCGGGCGGTGCTGTGTCCCCGCAGGAATCGGACAGGATGGCCGGGGCCGGTGGCCAGCACCACCCTCCGGGCGCCGCGGGCGGAGCGGCCGCCGGGGCTGGCGCCGCGGTCACCCCAGCCGCTGCCCCGGCGGGCCCGGGAGAGGATTCATCCGACAGCGAAGCGGAGCAAGAGGGACCCCAGAAACTGATCCGCAAAGTGTCCACCTCCGGGCAGATTCGGACCAAGGTAAGGCGGGCGGCGGGGAAGTGCAGAGAGGGCGCCTGGGGCGCGGGGGTGATCCCAGGGTGATCCCGGGAAGATCCCGGGAGTCTGGGGCGGGGTTTGAGCCGGGGGCGGGGCCCGGGGCTGGACCGCGGCGCTGCTGGAAGGGGTGCCCGGCCCCCGGCCCGCGCGGGGGGTGGGGGGGGGGCGGCCGGGGTCCGCTGCCCCGGAGCGCGGCGGGCGGGACCGAGGAGCTAGGAACCAGCGGCTCCGCGGAGCGTGGGAAAAAGCTGAGGCGCTGCGGAGAGTTCCCACTTAGGGACTTGAAAGGATTGCTTTTTGGTGTTTTGGGGTATTTGTTTGTTTTGCACTCGCAGCCGTGCAATGGTTTGTTAGAGCTTGTGCGTTGTGCAGGGAGCGGAGTGCAGGACGACCCTCCCCAGCAGCAGTGATTTCCACCACCTCGCCCCGCAGCAGCCTGCCCCGCCCCTGGCCCACTCCCCGAGGATGGTGGGGGGCGACTCGGGACAGACGCTTTGCCACCGGCGGCCTTTTGGGAGGCCTGTGATAAACACTGCTCTCCCCGGACTGCTCCCTGGGCAGCCCAAAGAGCAGGCCAGGCTTGAGGGTTCTGGATTCCCACTAAGTGCAGAGGTCAGAGCTCATCAACACACCCATGGTTTTTTTTGTTGTTGCTGTTTTGTTTTGGTTTAAATGGTACGAAGTAACATCTTTGTGATACATGGAGTTTAGAATAGAATGCTGTCTGACTTTTGTGTAGCAGGTACTGATGGCCAGTGAAAGTTCAAAGTTGAGAGTTTTAATTTCACCGTGAATATATACATAGCAAATGCACGCAATTCAAGCTTATTTACATATTCTAATTTTCATGAAACTTTTCAAATCACCTCGCAATCAGTTATCACTGGGGGACTTCAAGGAGGAATTTGAGAAGGGAGCCAATAAAATCATTGGAATTGTGTGCTCTCTTTAAAAATAAATTTGCAAAAGCTAGTTCATTCTATGTCTATTTTTATGAGAATTTGTTTTCTAAGGTTAATGGATTCCTATATGAAAATAGAACTTTTATTATATGCTTGTGGATTCATGTTTGTATTAGCCTGTCTCATTTTCTGAAATAAATGTGTACTCATAAACACAACTGTTAATAAGATGCACTTAAGAAGGAGTGAAGGATTGCTTCAGTCATTTTTAAAGTGCACATCTTGTAATGCTTTTAATACTGACGTTTCTGAATTTAGTGGGCTTTGTAATAAATTAAGTATATGAGGTTTAGTATTTTTGGAAGTTAAGACTAAACAAGATAGGAACTTTCCTCAGTCCCTTTAACACTTAAAATATTAATATTTTTAAAGATCATAAAATTATGTTTTAATGGACAGCATGGCAGGTTTTTTTAAAATGATATATTCTGTGTATTTACACAGAATATGAATCCATTAAAATTCCTTATGTCGAAATTAACCAGTAAATTTATGCTGTTTGAAAGAAAATTTAGAGATAGCTCTAATTTGAATTGAGTAAAATCAAATAACAAGTTTGTTGGAATATCTCAAAAATGTGTAGGTGTAATGTACTCATGGCAATAGCTAAAATTATTCTCTTTAAGTTGATATTATCTATGGTTTGGGGTAAAACATCCTTATTGAGACTAAGTGAATTCAAAAGAATCATGTATTGTTTTTTATTGACCCTAATAAAACTATTTAGTTCATACGTTTTGCCAAGATTAGAGGTAATTAGTAATCAACTAATGAAATGTTCCTTAAATCTCAATACAAAGTTTTACTGAGTTTCAAAAATTCTGTATTTTATACCAGGTCATACAAGTGCATATAAGTTCATCAACATTTTCATTAGGAACACCTGAAATCAAGGCCTGAGACTGCTGAGACCAACTGGCCTCTAACCTCCCTGCTTGCCACCACCCTCCCCACCAGTCCAGACTGTTTATATACACTACCAATGTGAGCAGTTAACCTACATATTGTTTCTCAGGAAGGAAAATGAAGCAGTGTAGAAACTCATTGAATGAGAACTTCTAAGCTAAAGATTTCCAGTCTTCATTTATGATCCAAATAAGAGGGAGGGGAAAGACCTTCTCTTGATTACCTCCAAAGGTGTATAAGATGGGAACCCCTAAAGGAGAAGGAAGCCCTAGGACTAGTTCAAGGCTTAGTCATTTTTAAAACAACTGTAGGGGTTTTTGCTCATACATCCTGAAGATTAGAGGACACTAGATCTGACCGCTTATAATTGAAGTGGCAACATCAGCCTGGTTGAGTGGCAGCCTGGGATGGTGTGTGTGGGCACACATACACACCTACCTGCAGTATATGCACATCTTACATTGCAGGTGTATAGAAATTCTCTGATAAAGCATGTTTGCTTAAACACACAAAAGTCCTACAGCAGAATGAGTTGCACTTATACATCAAAATATATCTTAAATGAGCAACTGTGAGAAATGAGAGAGGGTGTCTTTTTCTAAAAGTCTTTTCCCCTCCCTCTTATTTGGATCATAATTGAAGACTGGAAACTGAAAGGTAAGTTTAGCAGTTCTCATTCTGTGTTACATATATATATATATATATATATATATATTTATGTATATATGTATGTATAATGCTCTGTATGTAAAGATTATCATTAAAACATAGTACTTTTTAAATTTTCTTTTAAGGTGCTTAGGATCATACTGCTGCTTAGTATCCAGTTTAGATTTGAAGTGATAAAAAGCCACTAATTTTAGTAAATACCTCATTTGAAGTGTTCTTTGTAAATGCTGATCAATGTCTTAAATAATTAAAGAATATTAGTAAAGAACTTTAAATTAATTGTGACTTTTAAAGAGTACCCAGACTTTTCTTTCTTAGCAGTAAGAACACACGCAACATTTATTGTTTGTCATCTTATATTGGTGTATTTATGGCGCTCCCAAACAATTGCAATAGTCACATTAAAAATCACTGATAACAGATCTCCATAACAAATAAAGTAACAATGGAAAAGTGCAATAGCGCAAGAAATATCAAAACGTGACAAAGAAACACAAAATGGGCACATGTTGTTGGGAAAATGGAACTATCAGACTTGCTCAATAGGGTTGCCACAAACCTTCAATTTGTGAAAAATGCAATGTCTCAAGTGCAACCAAGCAAAGTACAGCAAATGAGGTATGTCTGTATTTTCAAGGGCCTTACATTTTGGTTGTCCAGACATTTCCTACTTGAGAAAGCAATGCAAGCACTAAATAAGGCACTCAGATAGTGTGAGAGGGTGTTCAGTAATGGAGGGTGTCCAGGGAAAGGTAATCTCCCTCTTACCACAGATCTCTTGTCTCCATCTCAGAGCAATTGTTGATATTTTCTTGGCATGCTTCCAGAAAATTTCTGTGCAAATGCAAATATATATATATATTTCTTTAAAAAAATTCCAATGGAAACATTCTATAAACATTCTTTCTGTGTTTTGTTTTGTTTGTTTTTGTGGAAATCATTTCTCCAATGACATGCATACATCTACTTCATTCTTTTTAGTGATGGCAAAGAAATCCAGTATATTAGATTGAGCTAAGTGAAGTTGCTATGTCAATAAATCAAAAATGGTCGCGAGTAGAAAGGTGGTTGGCAGGAGGTGGGGAGTGAGGGGAATTGGGTAAATGTTGACCAAGTGGTGCAAACTTTCAATTATAAAATAAACAAGTTCTGGAGATTTAACCAGCATAATGCACATATATTCTTTATTATATACTGGAAAATTGCTTAAGAGAGCAGATCTTATTTTTTTAAAAAAATATTTATTTATTTATGCGCACAAGAGCTGGGGTGCAGGCCAGAGATGCAGGGGGTGAGAGGATTCACCAGAAACAGAGTGTCTAGCAGAATAGGCTGATCTACTGAAATACGCTGCTGAGGAGAGCAGCAGGCGAGACAGGAGAGATCTGCTTGCCATGTGGGTCACCTCCCTGGCCGGGGATCCAACTTGTGCTGCAGCAGCTGAGGATAGTTTCATAGTGCTATATCTTAACCCCCTGCACCACCAGGGAGGCCCCAAGAGAACAGATCTTAAGTGTTCCCACCACACACAAGAAGTAACTGAGGTGATGGATATGTTACCTCACTTAATTGTGTGATCATTTCGCATTGTATATGTCTATTGAATCACATCATATACTTTTTTTTTAATTTTTTTTTTTATACAGGCATGTTTATTTATTTATTTGTTTGCTTGTTTGTTTGTTTATACATGCACTGGGTACAGTCAGAAGCGCGGGAGGGTGAGAGAATTCACCAGAGCCAGAGCGGGGAGCAGAGCAGGCAGAAGGACTGAAGTACACTGCTGAGGGGAGCAGCGGGCGGCAGGAGAAGTCTGCGCGCCACGTGAGACCCTCCTCCAGTGGCCGGGGAGCAGCCGGGGATCGAACCGGCGCCACAGAGGCTGCGTGCAGCTTTGCAACCCAGCGCTCAACCACTGCGCCACTGGGGAGGCCCACATCATATACTTTAAACATATACAATTTTATTTGTCAATTAGATTGCAATAAAACTGGAAATAATGGTAGAATATGGAAAATTCATATGATTCTGCCTAACATGGAATGTCATCAATTAATTAAAGAGTATTCTGTGGAAGGAAATATGGTTTGTTTCAGGACAACTCTAATCTCAGAGTTTTTTTTATTGGACACGATGACTTTTTAAGTAAAGAATAAGACTAGCATGCTTTCAAAACTAGCATAGTTTAACAACATCCTCATGTATACTTTAGTCCCTTCCTCACATCCCCGCATTGTACACTTCTTTCCTTTTTCCTTTTTCCTTTTTTCCTGTCTTTGTCCTTGCCATTCTCACTACTATTTTTCTCTTTAATTCATCTTTTTCCTTTCTTTCCATCAGCTAAATGGAATTGCAGGTAGTCTCATCTAGCTACCCAGGTACTAATGACTAGGTAATTTTACGGTGCCTGCAGTCCCCCAAGGGGAAAAAAGAAATCACTTGCAC